GGCATGGCCCCTGTAGCTTACAACATAGCTCCGCCACTAATCACGCCACTAGGAGAAGGATGGCGGAAGAACCCATTCATTTGAAGAAGCGCCCAAGCCATGACCCGTGGAGGATGAATTTTAGCTACTTTGTCGACTACTTCATCGCAAGCTTACGTCACGCATTGAGCCACTGTTATATTGTTTTTGCGGAGCATCGATATATATCCTAGGTACTCCCTCCGTTCCAAATTACTTTACTTATCGCAGGTATAGATGTATCTAGATGTATTTTAATTCTAGATACATCTATTTTTATTTCTGAGACGAGTAATTTGGAACGGAGGGAGTACTAGCTAGCGCATGCAAATCATCTACTGCCGAAAAGTCATCGTTGGCCACGTGAACGGAAGAAAGAAGAAAGAAGAATGAGGAAAAGGGAGACAGAGGTTCCATGTGGGGTCTAGTTCGTTTGAGGGTTCTGTTAGGTTCGTATTTTTTTAACTCTTCAAAATTTGAAAAGTGAAGATTAGAGGAGATGTTTGAGGAGTTAAAGTTTGACGGTTCGGCGTTACAAACCCAGCCGGCCATACAATCGACTCCATCAATTTACACTCAACAACTATAAGCATTCATGTTAGTGTACTGTCAGTGCGCTGTACGTACATGTGGTGCCTATACCTAGGTGTAGTATATTAGCGCATGCAAGGGAGGCAAACGTACACTCTCCCCTTGCATTGCCCATTGCCCATGCCTATGCATGTAACAGCTACAAACGAATGTTTAGTTCCATGATTGATTGTTTAGGGTGATTAAATAAACAAGAATATTTAGAATTACAAGTTTACAACCTACATTAGCTTATTACAGCACAGCAGCAACACCACCACATAAACTATCTAGCTAGGGAGAGGTCATCTCAACATATATGAAACAAAAAACAAAAATAAATAAATAATACTAACCAACCTGCATCGGCCATGGCTTTAATTCATACTCCTATATATGGGGCGGCCGGGGGGAAATGCATGCAAAGAAATTAACATCAATGTCTACATGTGTCTTGCATGCATGCGTGGCTGATGCGATTACTAATAAAGGAACCTAGTCCCTTCCTGGGTTGCTGCAGCACCGCCGGCACCGTCGCCGTAGAAGAAGAAGCTGCTCGGCGAAATCATCTCATGATGCTCATAGGTCATGATGTCATTCCCAGATGCTGCTGCTGCTGGTGAGAGCAGGCTGTTGGTGTCCTCCTCCTGCTGCTGAAACTGCAAGCCACCAAACATGAAGCTCTCCTGCAGGCCAGCAGCAGCAGCAGCAGCAGCAGCAGCACTGGTGTTGTTGGAGATGTCCACCGAGGAGCTCGACGACATGTACTGCTGCTGCTGGTGGTGGTCGCCTCCTCCGACTCCAAACATGAGGAGCTGGCCTAGAGATGCAGCAGAGGTAGAGCTAGTGTGGTGGTGGTGCTCAACGGTAAATGGCGGTGCCGGTGGTCTGGAGCTGTACTGCTGGCCATGGGTGGACTGAGCGGCGGCGGCGATGAGCAGGTGCAGCTGCTTCTTCTTGAGCTTGGTGTTCCAGTAGTTCTTGACGTCGTTGTCGGTCCTCCCGGGGAGCTGCGCGGCGATGATGGACCACCTGCTGCCGATGGCGGCGAAGAGGGCGCAGATCACCCTGTCCTCCTCCTCGGAGAAGTCGCCGTGCTTGATGTTCGGCCGCAGGTAGTTGAGCCAACGCAGGCGGCAGCTCTTCCCGCACCTCTTCAGGCCTGAATCATCTCCACGACATGAGTGAACGTGCATGCACGCATGTGCAGAAATGCAGATGGATATAGGTAGGTGTAATGGACATACCGGCTTTGGTGGGGAGCGCGATCCAGTTGCCGCCTGTGCCATGGGTGTGGATGTAGTCCTTGAGCTTCCTGTCCTCCTCGGGCGACCATGGCCCCTTCTTCACGCTGCCCTTGTCACAGCAGGGGGCTCGACCCATTTTCTCCCTCTTCTTCCCTGGCTCCTTTCTTCCTCGAGTTCCTGCCTAAGCTAGCCAGCTAGCTCCGGATGGGAGGAAATGGAGAGAGACAAGTTTAAAGGCAGCTCGCTAGCTCAGCTAGGTTGGAGATATATAATGCGGCCGGCAAGCAAGTCAATGGCAGTTGCTAGTACGAAGGAGGATGGCTCTAAATTTGTCTAGTTTCTCTCACCAAGCTAGCTAGATGTACTTTCTCTCCCTCCCTCCCTCTCTCTCTCATGGCAATGGCAATGGCAATGGCAGTGACAGTGACATCCATCTCTCCCTTGCACTGTCTGTCATCCATCGTTTCATGTCTGTCATCAACCAATCTCACACACGGACAGGGCCCAAACAACTAGGAAGGGGTAGGCCACAGCACACCTCAGCATGCATCATCCCCTCAACCTATAGCTTGTACTTTTGGAGACCCTTTCTTTCTGCTGCAGCATGTCCCTCAGGCCAACTCCACGCGTCACCCTATCCTGTTCGCCCCCGTCCGTTTGGGGTAAAAGGGACAAACGAGACGGCCCAGCGTGCGGGCGCAAACGGACAAATGTCCGGATTTCGTCCGCTTTCGACCCATCCCCGGCCCAAACTTACGCTCGGTTTGGGGTAAAACGGACGCGCGCGGACGGTCTCGACGCACGCCCTTGTCCCCCCGTGGCCCGCCTGTCGGGGACACTAGCAGTCCCTCCACTCCCAACGCTTCACCCTCTCTCCCCGCCCCGCCCCGCCGCCAGCGCCGCCGCTATTCTCCGGCCGCCTCCTCACCGCGCAGCCCCCCCGCCGTCCGTACCAAACCACATCTCGACATGGCCGCCACCACGCCCGCGCTTCCGCCGTAGTTTTGGTCGTCGATCGGAGGAGGTTTGGCCCTCGCCGTCCTTGCCGGTGGCAGAGGGGACACGACTGCCGGCGACGTACCACGGCGGCCGAGGCAGATTCCCACGAGAGCTCCAGAGCGGCCTGTAGCCGGCCGACAACCACCCTGCTGCGTCGAGGTGATCATCGCGGCCTCTTCGCCACCACGAGCGCAAGGTGTTCGACCTTTTGCCAACAAAGGTATGGACAGTGGAGACGAGCTTTTCTACCATCACTTCCTTTGTTCATCGGACGATTCGTCGTCGGATGATGACGATCTTGTGGTGGCTGCACTGGTCGTTCACGACCATATTCAACAACAGCTTCCTCGATACAGGGGGTCAGTCCCTGGCCGTGCTCCCAACCTGGACCGCAACAGGGAAAGAGGCCACGCCATGCTCTATGCAGATTACTTTGCCGACACCCCGCTCTTCAGGCCGGATAAATTTCGTCGCCGTTTTCGTATGGCCAGGCATGTGTTCAATCGTATCCGAGAGGGAGTGGTTTCTCATGACCCATACTTCGAGTGCAAGACGGATGCCCTTGGCAAGCTTGGATTCTCCTCCTACCAGAAATGCACCGCGGCCATCCGCATGCTTGCATATGGAATTCCAGGCGATCTGGTGGATGAGTATGTGCGTATGAGTGAGACAACATGTCTGATGTCAATGTACAAGTTTTGCCAGGCTGTGATCGAGGTCTTTGGCCCAGAGTACTTGAGGCAGCCAACTGCCGCTGATACAGAGAGATTGTTGGCGATCAACGCAGCTAGAGGCTTTCTAGGTATGCTTGGCAGCATAGATTGTATGCACTGGGAGTGGAAGAACTGTCCATTTGCTTGGCAGGGCCAGTACAAGGGGCATGTTAACGGGTGCTGTGTCATATTAGAAGCGGTGGCATCACAAGATCTTTGGATATGGCATGGCAGGTTCTCACAATGATATCAACGTGCTGCAGCATTCTCCAGTCTTCGCGAGGCTTGCAGAAGGCCACTCCTCACCTGTCAACTTTGAGATCAACGGCCACCATTACAACAAGGGATACTATCTAGCAGATGGTATATATCCTCAGTGGTCAACTTTTGTGAAGACAATCTCGAAACCCCAAGGTGAGAAGAGAAAGAGATTTGCCCAAATGCAAGAGAGTGTTAGAAAGGATGTGGAACGTGCTTTTGGTGTGCTTCAATCCCGGTGGGGTATCATTCGAAACCCTGCACTGTCATGGGATGAAAGGAAGCTTTGGGAGGTGATGACTGCTTGTGTGATCATGCACAACATGATCGTCGAGGACGAGCGTGATGAGAGTATCTTCGACCAAGGATTTGATTATCAAGGTGAAAATATTGAGCCCCTGCACCAAGACCCGGCCACATTTGAACAGTTTGCCCAATTCCACCGTGAGATGCGTGATTGGCACACTCATGTGAATCTTCAAAATGACTTGGTTGAGCACGTGTGGGATCATGTTGGCACCAATAGATGTATTTGTCCATTTTATGTTCAGTCAAGACAATTTCGATTTGGTTGTAAAACTATTTTATTAAAGACAATTTCAATTGGGTTGTAAAACTATTTTAATTTTCAAACAAATATTTGGGTTCGAAACTAGTTTTAATGCAAATTTGGGCAATTCTTGGCCCTGACGGACAGGATGGGGCAAAAGGATGCGGCCGCGCGCTGGGCACACGGCCACCGCATCCCAGGATAGGCCCGGACACGACCCCAAATCCCTACCCAAAGGGACAAAAACAGGACAAAACGGACATCCGTTTGGGGTCGCGCGGTGGAGTTGGCCTCACCTACACACATGCGCACACTCTCTTTATCTAGTGACTGGTGTATCTCTTTTTCGAGCTCATAAGTCATAGCAGTAACTAGGCTAGCAACTAGTACTAAAAAGGGCCAGCCAGGGCAATTAAGCTAGGTAGCTAGGGTACAAATTTAAGGTGGATGCATCATGCATGTATGTATGGATTAGGATGATGAACCTGAGTATGCAAGACAAATCCATGCTTTTCGCCGCATATATAAAATAAAGAAACTAACTGCTCCCTCTATTATAGTAGAAGAGAAGTGAGATCTTGACAGAGTGGGCACCAAGATTCAGTTTAATTAGCTATTATTGACAAAAACACTGACCCTTGTCGACATGCAAGCATCATGCATTCATGCATGATTACTCTCTCTCTCTCTCTCTCACACACACACACACACACACTGATTTAGACCATGTCAAAGCCAATCAGTTGAGTACGATCGAAACAGTACCATGGAATCTTAACAACATGCCACTTTTCTAATTCGTTGGTTCTCATGTCGCCACCCAAACAAGTTTTACTAGAAACTGGTCCATCCATTGTTAATTTTGTTCCATGGCTACGTATACTAGTAGTATAATGCAATATATACGGGTGTTGTAGTCTTGTAGAGTAGGAATCATTCACGCGAATACAGCCACACCCATCGTACTGTTGGCATCAATTGGACAATGGTTTTGCTATTTTTCGGTCGATATAGCTCAGTTCATGCTATAGAGATTCGTGCTGTTTTTTTTTCAGTTTTTGGTTGTTGTTTTCTCCTCTCACGCGAGGAGAAATAATCTCAATCGACTAAGCTAGCTCTAGGCGCTCACATTGAACAAACGAATATATATACCCTGAAAAGAAAAGCTTAACAAACCTAGATATGTATACACAATTACACACACTGACACACATATAGGAGTATGTAGGTAGAGCAGTATAAATGTGTAACATGCAATTAATGCATGTGTACGTAAGAGCAGTGTAAATGTGTACTAACATGCATGTAGGTTGATGAAATAATTAATTACATAGCGTTCTGATCGACAGGGGCATAACCAAAAAGGTAAAGCACTCCTGGTACGTGGAGAACAAATGTACGGTAGGAGAGTTAAGGGACAAAGACTTGTGTAGGCACGTACGCATTATGTACTTTGCAGTAACATTTACGTACTTGAGTACTATATGTACGTACATAGCGTACGCCTTAATGATGATTAGCATAATACGTATATTGCTACCGGTCTACTACTACAGGCATGCATGCATGCATGAATATGACGCAATGTATGCGTGCATGTGCACCAATGTCTTTTTTCGCTACATTTCCAAGTTTCGCGTCATATCTCAGAGGCCATCGATCGATGAGATCACCAGCTAGCAAGCTTGCCATGAGTATGTATGTGTCTAACCATCACATCTTATATAATAGTAGTAGCTAGTACTTACTGTATGTTGCATCTCTCTCTCGTGTCGTCTGATCTGGTCTGCTCTGGCTATTGTCTCATGTGCACCGTACGTACGTGCGTGCGTGCCACAGGTCAGGCTGTCACGTACGTACCGGCGCCAAATTGGGGTATAAATAATGTACTACTAGTACGGTGCAAACTGCATGCCGAAAGGCAACGTTACGGTCGATACATCTTTTTTAACACAGCACAGACGCAAGCGTTTACATACACGCACATATACTCATTTCTACAAACACACACACGCACATCCTATTCTTACGAGCGTCTCCGAAAGACTCACCTGGCATATCACCTTGAAATTTACAAAGTCACCGTAAGCAGCTCGTCATCGATGAAATGTCTCCTCCCACTGAATGCGCATCGTCAGAAATCCTGAAATAAATACAAAAATAAATGCAAGCACCGGGACTTGAACCCTGATGGGCTGAGAATACCACAGTCCCTCTAATGTCCAATCACAGCTTGGTTCGCATCAATACACCCTCTTCTATTCTGTTGCAGACTTGCGGCTACAGTTTTTTTAGGGGGGGGGGGGTTGCAGCTACAGTTACTGGTACTAGTAGATTTCAATAAGCTAAATGTAAGTTGTCTGGTTTTTTATATTGAACCAGTCGAACTCATGGGAGAAGGAATCAGACGCGGAATCGAGGCCCGGGGACGTAGGGATGCCCGCAAGGCCTCGGCGACGAACGTGTCATAGTCGGCAGAGGTGAGTTTGAAAGTTGGTGGTTCGGCGTGCCCGGGGAGGGGGTGCAGGCTCATCGAGAAAATGTCTTTTAGTGCACTGATTTAGAGGGTTGGTCAGCGATGGCGCCAGCATAGGGGTGGGCGACAATGGGGGAAGG